ATAAATCATTGTAATATTAATAATATTGATTATTATTATCATTATTTGATTATTATCGTTATGGTTATTATTATAAACATTAGTAATAATAATAATATTATTATTATTCTTATTATTATCATAACAATGAAACATAAATAATGGTTAATGTGAACTATTTTTGGAATAAAAATTAAAATTACGATTCTGACTACTATTATTAATTATATTAATTATAGTAATAGTTTTATAATGATAATTAATTAATGAGGTAACGAGTTTATTAAGCAGGACGACTATTGGTAAATGAATTCTGCTGCTAGCTACACGAAACTAAATCAATGAACATACGCAAAGGTTTACCAACCAATTTTTAAGATTCCACCACATTCATTCATTCATTCTTTCATTCATCCATGAGTTTACTTACCTATCCATTCATACATTCTTTCACTCATTCATACGAAGTGATCATCCATTCATACAATTAAATCAATCAATCATTCATTCAATCATTCATTCATTCATCCATTCATTCGACGAAATACTTAAAACTCTGGTTTCTCTCAGCAAAAGATAATGATGTAGGAAAAATTTTCACAAAAAAATTGAAAAATTAAATAAATGAATAAAAACGTATGTGCATGTTTGCCATGCATTGTACGCATATACATATACATACCCAAAAAAAACAATTTTTTAACAATTTTTAAAATAATCCTTACAACCGTTGAAAATAAATTCCAATTAAAAGATTTCGAAAAGCGAACTTGGCGCAGAGAAGTATTCTTAAAAAGTTTACATAACTTCCGTAGAGAACACAATTACTCTATCCTGATGGATGGAATTTTTTTGTATGTAACTTTAAGCAAAGTCACCAAACCCTGTTTTACAATCTTCAAAAGTAATTCCACTTTTGAATAACTTCGTTAGTAACTTCTCTTACCCTTTTTGAGAGTGACGAAAATTTACTCCCAAAAATTTTTTTTTCTTATAAAATTTTACAAGAAATTCATCGCCATTATAAAAATCAGAGGAACATTAATTAGGAATGTCGGTAGATGGCCGATCTTCTTGCCGTAGTTTGCCACAGAAAAAAACACAATACACACAAATACATACACAAACACATAAACAAACACATATACAAATAAACATACACACAAACAACATACATACATACAAATAAACACACCACATACAGATAAACACACCCCATCAATCAATCAAACAATCTACGTTTAGCGTCCAGAGACCCAGTTCCCCCGAGGCAGGACGTTATAAACACACCACATACAAATAAACAAACACATAAAAAAAAATACACACACATATAAATACAAATAAACATATAAACATACACCAACCAACCAACCAGCCAGTCAGCCAGCCAACCAACCAACCAGCCAGCCAGCCAGCCAACCAGCCAGCCAGCCAACCAACCAACCAGCCAGCCAGTCAACCAACCAACCAACCAACCAGCCAGCCAATCAGTCAGTCAACCAACCAACCAACCAACCAGCCAGTCAACCAACAAACCAATCAACCAACTGACCGGCTTACCGACCGATCAATCGACTAGCAACCAACCAACTGATTGTGCAATGGTTGTGGTGCTACGAGAGCAACGGCGACGTCATGGATCTAC